GGTGTCTGCACCATCTCCCCCTGTTCCTGTCTTTCTTGTTGTGGAGTTTCCCTGTCCCTCCTTCTCACCCTTTCTGCCTCTCCATTTGTATACGGCATCTCTCTGTTCAGTTTTGCCTGTCCCTTCTTGTCCCCTCCTACCTCTTCATCTTCTTTCTCCACCTCTGCCCACTTCTGTATCTGTCCCCTCTCCCCCATATCTGCTTCTCCACCTGTCCCCCCTCCCCACTGCACCCCGCCCCCCAGTCCATTTCCGCTGTGTCTCTTTCTATCTATCTCTGCTACTCCGGTTGCCGTTTGCTTCTTCTTTCTCTCTCCCTGCCTCCTCTCAGGTTTTTTAGGAGAGATTTGAGACAGAGTCTCACTATATAACCCAAGCCGGCATCACAATTTACAATCCCCCTGCCTCGGCCTCCTGAGTTCGGGGATTACAAGCATGTCTCCTCTCTAAGTTGGCAGGCATTTGGAAGCATAAATATAGAGGGGTTATTCTAATGATTCCCGCCTTTCTTCCATTCTCTTTTAACTTTCTCCTTATATTTCAGAGTAAATCCCAGAGCTTGGGATGTAGCTCCATGGTAGAACACTTACCTGGCATATACAAGGCCCTGGGTTCTATGTTCAGGATCAAACCCTAGCCAACCCAATCTGCCACACAATTTCAACTCTTAAGGAGTCCAGATGACGTGTCATTACTCATAGGAACATTTTTTATGTAACCATTCTGCCATTTTCATACTGAATGAAATGAATGATTTCTTAGTACCCTTTATCACTGAAATGGTCTCTTTTCTTCTCTCCTTTACTTATCTTCCTCTGTCCCGAACTTGGAACCATTTTGGTCTGGTACTCTCCCTTTTGTGTCTGCTGCCCACCATCCTTTCTGTCTCCTTCTGATTGGAAAGCTCCAGGCTCACTTTGCTCTCTTCTCACATTCTTCTGCAGGGTGAGGAGTGAGCGGGTAGAGAGATGTAGCTGTGGAGAAAGGCACCTCTCTGTCCGTGGGGAGCTCCTAGGCCAATAGGGCAGGGACGGCCTTGGTGGGAAGGCAGGGTTCTAAGAACCAGCAGGTCCTTATGCCTTCCTCTTCCCGTCTTTTCTTTCCAGGAGGATTCCCGGGCTCCACAGCAGCGACTATACAAGCAGCTGGCTGAACATCTGCGTCAAAGCTGGGGCCCACTTGGAGCCCCGACACAAGTCCGAGATCTAGGAGAGATGCTACAGGCCTGGGGTGCTAGGGATAAGACTAGTACCCCCAAAGGCTCCCGCTTCACCCATTCAGAGAAGTTTACCTTCCATCTGGTGGGTAGGCCAGAGTGGACTGTGTTGATGGCTGACTTTGAGGGTTGCCTTATGTATTAACACCACTGTATTCTATACAAGTTCCCTGTGCCCACTGAAGAGGCCCTGTCTAACTGGGAGAGACTCCCCTAGCTTCCTGGGACTTGAGTGGAGAACGGGCAGATAGATGGGACTTGTGTAAGAGGTGTGCAGTGCTCCCACACAAATCCCATCATTCCTTGGGCTTTCCTTTGGTTAACATGTTTGCTTTGAGAATATCTTTTCTTCTTGGACACTCACCCAGAGGAACACCTGCCTTTCTCATGGACATTTTGGCCAGGGTGGTTATAGGACCGGGTGGTTATAGGGTCGGGGTGGCTACAGGGTCAGGGTGGTTATAGGACCGGGTGGTTATAGGGTCGGGGTGGTCAGGGAGGTTTCCTTGTGGTCGCCACTCTAACCTGTAGTTACAGATGGTGCTTCACTCTGCTGTAGTCACAGTCTGAAAACTGTCAGTGGTTGAGCGGACATGGGTACAGTGCTTGAGGGTGCTTTGGGGTCTAAGGCTAGGCTGTGAAGGATAGGACCTTGTGTGACTGACAACCAGGTTGCTGCTTCTACCCATAGGAGCCCCAGGTCCAGGCCACCCAGGTACCAGACGTACCAGCTACCTCCCAGAGGCCTGAACAGGTAAGGACACACACACACA